TGACCATACCCGACGCCACAACATCTTGGTCTTCACATCTTTAATTCATATATCTTAGATGGTAGACATGGAGACCAAGATGGTGTAACCTTCTGTTTGGTAGCCGACTCATTTGGCTTTATAGCGTTTGCTCAACCTCGTTTTCGCAACTTGGTTCGAGCGTCAAGGAGACCTTGTGGAATGTACCTAATCCCGTGTCATCTGACATAGTATTCGTGATTTCCAGTCATGGACCATTGACTTGGTACATTCCCAAACGTTTCTCCGGCATCGTCTGTGAGTGGTGTCATCGCCATAACAGAGTTACAACTTAACATAGTGACAAGTGAAAGCAACAGTTGACCATAAATTGGTCAAGGTGTAACTTGTTATGACGATGGCACCACTCACAGACGATGCCGGTGAAACGTTTGGAGATGTACCAAGTCAATGGTCCGAGACTAGAAATCACGAATACTATGTCAGATGACACGGAAATAGGTACATTCCACAAGACCTCCCTTGCACTATGACCAAGTTGTGAAAACGAGGTCGAACCAACACTTTGTTTGCCTTGGACGTGAAATCTACTAACTATTAATATGAGTAGCATCGTTGATCGTAGTGACAAATACAAGTTTGCCTCATCGGCATTCTAATTATAATAAAGTATGACTTGAGAAAGGTAATATTTGGCGAAATTCGACGGCCTCGCGAGAATTCCTATTTATTTTCTTAATGGAAATACAATTGTCAATCCATGCCTCACTGCTGCTTCGATATATTGCTCGAATTACACATGCTGACCTGACTTATTTCAGGAATGCTACTGTCTAATAGTCGCCTTTATTAGACTACCTCTGCCTTTCAGTTATGAATATTTAATATTATTCATATTTAGTCGCAAAAGCATCTTTTTCATATGTGCTATCCATTTATACAAATTATCTCTTACATAATTAGATCGACCTTTACTTCAAAAAAGGCATGGCACACAATGATTAAAGTCACTTTACTTCAAACGTATTGCGATAATTTCGGTCCCGCTACATCGTTTTCTGTGGTGACAGTGAATATCTACAAATAGACCAATTTCACCAAGCCAGTGCAAAGTACTGTGCTACCTTTATTTTCGCGGCAGTCATTATTTTGCGGCATCATTGACTTATTTTTGCACCACAGCCCCCATTCTATCTTACTCCCCAGTTGTCAAGAGCAATACAAACCAGCCTAAGGGCAGCTTTAAGCATTGGAACGGAAGAATAAATAAAGAGTCTAGAATCTATTTTATTTTCACTTATTCCTCAAATTAGCAAGCAATGCAAACGCACAAGGGCATTCTCGAAATTCTTATCTCCATCCTCTTAACCATCATATCTGCCAATAAAAAAGCCTGTCTAGAAAAAACGAACAAATAATCTAAATTAAGCGCTGTTTCTTATACTTTTGCACAGCTCTTTCATGCAATGCCTCAGCGTTCAACTCCAGTTTTCTACCGTGTCAACCGCCTAACCGGAGCCTCGATGATCTCGTACGGATTGCACAACAATGGAGCCGGAATTCAAGAAGCAAATGTATGGAACTCTCCAACAACCTCTGACGTGGGCAGCAGGAACAGTAGCAGAAGCGGCGCAAAGAGGTGGCGGTCGCATCCTTTCGGTCAGCCCATCGTCAGCGGTCAGGTTGCCTTGGAGGCTGGTGCCAGCCTTTGGCAACTTATCGACACTCACGGTCAAAATTCCGAAAGGCCTAGCAAATCTTATAAAAGTTAGCCTTGACTGCAAAAAACTATCATTCAGATTTTTAAGCTTAAACCTTAACAGAATATATGAAGACCAAGATAATATGACCTCTGTTATGGTCGCAGTCTCCTTTCTAATTATATAATTGGGTTGACCTCGTTGCGCAACTTGGTCTTGTTGTCAGGGCGACTTAGTAGAACGCAACTAGTCCTAAGTCGTCTGCCATAGCAGTTGTCATGATTCCCAGCATCTGACAGTGGACTTGATACATTCTTAAACGTTTCACCGGCATCGTAGTC